TGCTGACTTAGCGGCTGTATCAGCTTCTTCATTACCTCTTATACCCACGTGGCCTGGGACCCAACAGAACTTCACAAAAAAATTTCTCGTAGTGAGATGACAAATTAGTTTTCGAATTTTAATAACTATGAAGTGAGAACTACGTTCATACGAGATCAAAGCCTGAAGTGCACTAACTGAGTCAGTGTAAATCACGCAGCAACGATGACCTTTCCGATTTATATACTTTAAGGCTAAATAAATTGCCTGCAACTCCGCAGAAAAGATGGAAGAATTCGGTGCTATTTGTTCTGCCACAGTTTCATCCTGGCAAACAAAGGCTAAGCCAACATATTTATCCGATTTAGATACATCGGTGTATATAGGAATTAAATTCCTGTTACAATGCTGAATTTCTGCAAAGTGCTGTCTATAGACGTAGTCTGGCGTGGTTTCTTTAGGGAACTGCTTTAACCTTAAATCAACATCAATCAGTGAAGTTGACCAAGGTGGAATACTATTAACCTCAACATGTGAGATGTTGCTTGTGTCTAGGTCAATCGTGCTGCTTACATTCTCCATTCTAATGTCGAATGTAGGGACACAACTCATCCGAGCGGCAAATAATCTTTTCAGCTGAGTATCTGGACAATCAGCTGTAAGTTTTTTCTGAGATTTTTGTTTAATGAAATAAAAAAGAGACAACTGTTCTCTCCTGAGAGATAGTGAAGGCTCATAAGCATCCACATACAAACTTTGAACAGGGGAAGTTCGAAATGCACCGGTGCACAAACGCAAAGCTTGATGGTGGATTGGATCCAGCATCCGAAGAGTAGATTCTCGCGCAGAGCCATAAACAATGCAACCATAGTCCAGCTTAGAGCGGACAAGGGCCCTATGAATCCTGAGCATCGAAACTTTGTCTGCTCCCCAGGATGAGCAGCATAGTACCTTTAAAAGGTTTAAAGATTTTAAACATCTACTCTTCAGGTTGTGCAAGTGTGGCAAAAATGTCAGTTTTTGGTCAAAACAAACACCCAAAAACTTAGCTTTATTCACCATTGACCTCCCAGTTGGTCCTGCCTGTGAGTAACCCCTAGTGGGTGAAACCAATCAGTAGCTGCACTTGTTCAAAACGTTTCAAAGAGTCCTTTTAAGGACTATGGCCAAGAGGCCGAAAGTTTCCGAAACGGATGATGAGACGCCATCTGAAGATATGGAAGTATCTCTCCAAGCAGAGAGAGTACTACTAGCGGAAAGTATCCGCGATGAAATCCAAGAGTATATGATGACAAATAATTCAAGCAAGATGTCTGCAAAACACACAACGTTTATCATCAAAAAGATCGACAAGATAATCGATATCCTACGAGATAGTGAAGAGGATCCGCTTCGAACTGTGATGGACTCTATCAACCAAAAGTTGGATAAAGTGCTTTCAGCACCAACAACAAAACCAGTACAGAGTTATGCACAAGTAGTGTCTAAGAAGGTGAAGCAACAACCTAAAGAAATTCTACTGGTGGAGCCAGAACAGAAGGGTGGAGACCCAGAAAGAGCCAAGGATCGTCTAAAACAGAACATCAACCCAAGAAGATTAGGAGTTGGGATCCAAGCAATGAGGAAGTTAAGAAGAGGCAGAATAGAAATTAAAGTTAACACAGCAGAGGAAAAAAGAAAACTAAGGGAAGAAATAGAAGAAAAGACTGGCCTGAAAACCAGGGAGCCAGTGAAGAGACGACCGCGCATTGTCATCTATGGAGTGGCCAAGGATGCTCCAAAAGAAGAAGTTGAGGAGTGTCTATTCGAGCAAAATGAAATCATTAATAGTAATTTAGATATTAACAAATACAGGAAAGAAGTGGAACTGAAATTCAAGTATGGAAGTCGGGAAAAACGAACAGTTAATTCGGTGGCTGAAATAAGCCCAAGAGTCCGTCAATTACTAATGGCTAAAAAGGAAATTAACCTTTGCTGGTCAAGATGTGGCATAGAAGAATACATCAATGTCACTCAATGCTATAAGTGTTGTAAAATTGGACATATAGCGAAAAACTGCGTGGAAAGAGACGTTGTCTCTAGTCAATGTGGGCAGAACCACAAATTCAAAGATTGCCCAAATAAAGCAAGAGCTGACTGTTGTAATTGTAGGAAAGAGAAGTTAAAGGACACGAATCATAACACATGCGACAAGAAGTGCCCCCTTATACAAAAAGTAAGATGTATGATAATGGCCAAAATAGATTATGGCTACAATTAATCAGGAAGGAAACAAAAAGATAAAAGTTTTACAAGTAAATACACAAAGATCAATAGGGGCTACTTCTGCACTTTGTAAGGTAATGGAAAGGATGGATGTTGCTCTCGTCTAGGAGCCCTACTGCCTGAGAGGTACACCGGGCTGTCTTAGGGTTTCTTATCGTACTTTATATGACAAAAGTGAAACACCAAAAACCTTGGCTATAGTCAACGAAAACTCCATCCCTGTGCTATACTACACTCAGTAGAGCAACAGAGGTATGACCTGTATAGAAATTGGAAGCGGAAACAATAGTGTAATTATGGTGAGCGTCTATTGCCCTATTACAAACGACCTGGGACCATTTCTTACCGAACTGGATGAATTGGTTAAAAACTTTAAAAATAAAAACATCATAATAGGAGGAGACTTGAACGCTCATTCTCAGATATGGGGAGACCCAGAGGATGATGAAAGAGCAGAACTGTTGCCAGAGTTTGTGAACTCGAATGAAATGCACATCTTGAACGATCCAGACTCGTTGCCCACTTTTGAAGGCCCAAATGGACAAAGTTGGATAGACATAACAATATGTAACAACAGAGCATTAAGGATAATCCAAAGTTGGACTGTGGCACCAATTTCCAGCCTCAGTGATCACAACTACATCTTCATCGAGATAGGGCAGTGTGGCTGGATAGAGGAAGAAGATATGGCACAGTATGCCATTAATAGAGCAGACTGGCAACTATTTCAAAAGAAGCTAGAAGTAGCAATGGGAAAACTGAACTTAAACGATATCACAAATAGTGAAGAAGCAGAATGGAAAATTACAGCATTTCACAAAACAGTGGTAGATATCTGTGATATAACAATTCCAAAAAAAAGAAGACAAAAGAGGACAGTCCCATGGTGGACAGGTGAACTGAGTGAGTTGCGGAGAATCAATAATAGACTTCGCAGGAAATACCAAAGAACAAAAAACAACCAAGACAGAAAAAGAAAGAAAGGAGAGTATCTAGAACATTGCAAAACATATAGGCAAAAGATAAAAGAGGTAAAGATTAAATCTTGGAGGGAATTTTGTACCAAGAGCTCTACAAAGCCCTGGAACTATATATACAAGGCATGCGCAGGAAAATTAAAATTGCCACAATATCTCACTGCACTGAACGTAAACGAGGGTTACACAGATGGATACAAGGGAACTGTTCAAGCACTAACGAAAGTGTTTTTCCCAGAGGATGATCCTGGTAAAGACTTGATAGAACACAAATTAATCCGAGAGGAAATAGCCATACCATATATGGGGTCGACTGATCCAATGTTCACAATAGAAGAAATTAACAATGCGGTCCAACGACTGCAGACAGGTAAAGCACCAGGAAATGACGGAATGACAGCAGAAATTATTCATAAAATTTGGGACATTAATCCCTCGTATCTAAGGCAAATATATAATCTATGTCTCACATATGGCGTCTTTCCACAGATTTGGAAGACAGCTAAATTGGTGATAATACCTAAAGGTGAACAAGTTGAAAAAAGCGAAGCCAAAAGTTATAGGCCATTGAGCTTACTCCCAGCAATGGGGAAGGTCTTAGACTTTCTCATTAGCCAAAGGATAACATATCATCTTGAAAATATACAGTTTCTTAGCCCAAAACAACACGGGTTCCTCCCAAACAGATCAACGGAGGATGTTATCTGCAAAGTAATTGAAAATATACAGAGAATACTAGATCGGAACAAGTACTGCTGTGGCATCAGTTTGGATATACAAGGGGCCTTTGACCATGCATGGTGGCCCCTTATACTCAGGACCTTAAGAAAAGCAGGATGCCTTGTGAACATATATGAATTAGTAACCAATTACTTAAGTGACAGAAAGGTCATCTATCAAACTAGAGGCTCAAATATACAAAAAGAACTTAACAGAGGATGCCCACAGGGGTCCAATTCGGGACCCCTGTTCTGGAATATCATATACGATAACTATTTAAAAGTTGACAAAGGAGAAGGCGTAATCGAGTTAGCATACACCGACGATACAATTATATTTGGTTCGAACTCAAGGAGGGAAATTGAAGAAAAAGGCAACAAAGTACTAAAATTGATTTCTCAAAAGGGAAGAGAACTTAAACTCTACTTTAACCCTCGGAAAACAAAAGCAATAATTTTTACAAGGGGAAGTACTCCAGATCTTTATAAAAGATCGCTTACAGTCAAAATGGATGATCAGAACATTAAGGTAGAGAAAGAGATGATGTACTTGGGAGTGGTGTTGGATCACCGGCTCACATGGATGGCACATACTACATATGTTAAAACTGTTGGTACAAATCTATTCAATGCTCTGGCCAGGGTGGCCAAGGCTACGTGGGGCCTCAGCAAAGAGGCTATCGATATTATATACCAGGGGTGGCCAACCTGCGGCTCGTGAGCCACATGCGGCTCTTTGAAGGATTATTTGTGGCTCTCGATAAATGTACCCGAGATCCCTTTTCATTTTTGTGTTATTATATTTTAAAAAATTATTTATCGTTCCGTATGTGTTTCAAAATGTCTTTTAAATTACTAACAACAAATATGAAAGACTAAGTGCAATGTTGTAACAAATTTCATTTCCGTCCAAGTTAAGAATGATACGACTCATCGAAAACTGCGCGAACGAACATAAACAGTGGCATAATCGTTCATTATCGACCGACTCCAGACCGATTTTGAATTTGTAAACTGTCATTGCAACGGACAGTTGACATTGTGCTCTGGAGGAAACAGTTTGTATCACTCTTCTTACAGATATAATTTGTATTCTGAAATTTTCTGCATACCTTTTTAATACGTATTTAATTGCGGCTCGCGAAAAATTTCAACTTTTGAAAAATGGCTCAGACTATCAAGGAGCTTGGCCACCCTGGTTATATACAAAGGTGCGTTTGTCCCAAAAGTCACTTATGCGGCGAGTGCTTGGTTCAAAGCTGCAGAAAAAGGCAGCATAAAACGAAAGTTAAGGAGTGCGCAACGTGTGGCATTACTTAGGATGACAAGAGCATACTGCACAACTTCAACAGAGACGTTAATGGTGATTGCCAAAATTACGCCAATAGACATGATTCTACATGAAAGGGCAAAGATATACATGAGTAGAAGAGGGTATCCAATAGACATCATGAATGAAACTTACAACAGAAGGGATTACGAAATGCAGGTAATGGCAAGAATGCTACCGAAACCCTATGAACGGTCGGTGATTAACATTGCAACAGAACATGAAAGAAGTGATATTGACATATACACTGATGGATCTAAAGTTGAGGGCCAGATGGGAGCCTCCTTCCTGGCTATAAAAGACAACATAGAAATCCACCACGATCAATACAGATTAGACAACAGGTGCTCAGTGTATCAAGCAGAACTGTTTGCAATTGTACAAGCTGTTAGATGGGTAATCTACACCCAGCTGTCTGGCTCTATAGTTATAAACACAGACAGCAGGGCTGCTATACAAACACTTATGCAGTTCAATGACAAAAATATAATGGCTTTAGAAGTCAAAAATCTCATAAAAGAATACAGCTTAAATATTAAGATAAGATGGGTAAAGGCTCACATAGGAATAGAAGGGAACGAAAGGGCAGACGCTCTGGCCGAAGCGGCAGCGTCTTTACCTGATACCACCTACAATAAAAATCCAGTGTCGTACATCAAAAGGTTACTACGTCAAGAGTCAATAGAAGAGTGTCAGGAAGAGTGAAGTTATAGCGACAAAGGAAGACACACCTTCTGGTTGCTTCCTAATATAGAAGAAAGGATAAATGAATTAAGATGGCTTATGAGTGACTACATAACACAACTCTTGACCAACCATTGTAACACCAAGGAATATTTAAAAAGAATAGGAAAACAACAGGATATACAATGCGAATGCGAAACAGGAGAACACAATCTAGACCACATCATAAATGTATGTACAAAATACGAAATGGAAAGAATGCAGCTACTAACACTAGTCAAAGAGACTTTAAACACTTCGAGCTTGGATCTCTACATGATAATAAGGACTAGGGATCTGGTCCAGGAAGTGAAAACCTTCACGCGAACAATAATGTCGTGAATTAGAAACGAGCTGCTCCCACTGCAACAGAGTCGCAATCTTGTAAAGGCGAGTTGCCTATGTATTAATGTTTCTTTAATATTTTAATGTATGTATTAAGACTCCTTTTATATTAATGTAAAGTTTGAATAAAGATAGCGTGACAAGGGTGACTCTGATCCCCAAAAGGGGAAATGATGATTATCTAATAAAAAAAAAAATCTCTCTATCTACTATAAATGAATTTACTGAGGTTATATAATATGTGTTTAACAATGGATAGGTTTCCTAGAAGATGGAAGATAGCTAAGGTAATTGTCTTATTGAAGAGTAAAGATAGGGAACGGAGTATTCCAAAATCTTATAGGCCTATATGCCTATTGTCACTAATAGGGAAGATTTATGAGAGATTGTTAAAATTGAGATTAGAGGAATTATTTCGGGATAGTATTGATAACTTTCAATTTGGTTTTCGACCCGGTTTGTTGACTGTGGACTCAATCAGATGCTTGTGGAGGTGGACACATGAGTCTTCTAGGAAGTATGTGCTTGACTTATTTTTAGATATTGCCGGAGCATTTGACAACATATCGTGGCCCGCAGTACTTATGGCTCTACATGAAAGGAATTGCCCTATGGATTTGTATAGGGTGATACGGGATTATTTTAATCATAGGGTTGTGTGTTATAGTCATGGTGGTGTAATTTACAGTAGAAAGGTTAGCAAGGGCTGTCGCCAAGGGTCAGTGCTTGGTCTGTTGTTATGGATTATAGTATTTAATAAAGTCCTGATAGGTCTGAGGGACTGTGGGTTTCGGTACATTGCCTATGCCGATGATTTGGCTATACTGATTGAGGGGAATAGTCGAAGGGAGCTAGAGGCTAAGAGTTGCGAAGTTCTCCGATATATTGAAAAGCAATTGTC